ATGGAAATTCCCAATACTAAAAAACGAATTGTAAAATCGGTAGATTGCTTAAGATTCGGCAATTTATAAAAGAAATGTCTTGTACCCCGTGAACGGCTGTTTAACAGAGTTTCCATCGATGAAATGCTTGCAACGTGCATCAGAAAAAATTTACTTCCCATGCCGGGAGTCGAACCCGGGCCGCCTGGGTGAGAGCCAGGAATCCTGACCGCTAGACCACATGGGACACAAACCCGCTTTGTAAAAGGAATGGAAATTCTCAACTCTACAAAACGAATTGTAAAATCAGTAGACTGCTTAAGATTCGGCAATTTATAAAAGAAAGGTCTTGCACCCCGTCAGCGTTTGTTTAACAGCGTTTTAATCGTTGAAACGGATGGAACACGCATTAGAAAAAACTTAGTTCCCATGCCGGGAGTCGAACCCGGGCCGCCTGGGTGAGAGCCAGGAATCCTGACCGCTAGACCATATGGGATACAAACACACTTTGTAACAGGAAAGAAAATTCTCAACTCCACAAAACGAATTGTAAAATCGGTAGACGGTTTAAGATTTGTCAATTTCTTAAATAAGTTCTTGTACGCTATGGACGTTTGTTTAACAGCGTTTTCAGCGTTGAAACGAATGGAACACGCATTAGAAAAAATTTAGTTCCCACGCCGGGAGTCGAACCCGGGCCGCCTGGGTGAGAGCCAGGAATCCTGACCGCTAGACCACATGGGACACAAACAAGCTTTGTAACAGGAATGGAAATTCTCAACTCTACAAAACGAATTGTAAAATCAGTAGACTGCTTAAGATTCGGCAATTTATAAAAGAAAGGTCTTGTACCCCGTCAGCGGTTGTTTAGCAGCGTTTCCAACGTTGAAACGCTTGCAACGTGCATTAGAAAAAATTTACTTCCCACGCCGGGAGTCGAACCCGGGCCGCTTGGGTGAGAGCGAAGCATCCTCACCGCTATACCACATGGGATACAAACCCGGTTTGTAACAGGTATGGAAATTCCCAAAACTACAAAACGAATTGTAAAATCAGTAGACGGCTTAAGAATTGTCAATTTCTTAAAAAGTTCTTGTACTCTATGGACGTTTGTTTAACAGCGTTTTAATCGTTGAAACGGATGGAACACGCATTAGAAAAAACTTAGTTCCCATGCCGGGAGTCGAACCCGGGCCGCCTGGGTGAGAGCCAGGAATCCTGACCGCTAGACCACATGGGATACAAACACGCTTTGAAACAGGAAAGGAAAATTTTCATTTCTACACATCGTATTCTAAAATCGGTAGACTGCTTAAGATTCGGCAATTTATTAAAAAAAATGTCTTGTACACCATCGACGGTTGTTTAAGAGCATTATTAGCGTTGAAACGCTTGTAACAGGCATCAGAAAAAACTTAGTTCCCACGCCGGAGTCGAACCCGGGCCGCCTGGGTGAGAGCCAGGAATCCTGACCGCTAGACCACATGGGATACGAACACGCTTTGTAACAGGAAAGGAAAATTCTCAACTCCACAAAACGAATTTTAAAATTGGTAGATTGCTTCAGATTCGGAAATTTATTAAAAAAAGTTCTTGTACGATATCAACGTTTGTTTAACAGCGTTTTCAGCGTTGAAACGAATGTAACACGCATTAGAAAAAATTTAGTTCCCACGCCGGGAGTCGAACCCGGGCCGCCTGGGTGCCGCCTGGGTGAGTATTTTAACTGGACCGCTAGACCACACATGGATACAAACACGCTTTGAAACAGGAAAGGAAAAATTTCATTTCTACACATCGTATTCTAAAATCGGTAGACTGATTAAGATTCGGCAATTTATTAAAAAAAGTTCTTGTACGCTATGAATGTTTACTGTGCTGTTTTCAGCGTTAAAACGAATGGAACACGCATTAGAAAAAAATTTAGTTCCTCTACGCCGGGGAGTCGATCCCGGTCGCCTGGTTGAGATCCAGGAATCCTTGACCTCGCTAGACCACATGGGATACGAAATACGTTTTGTGGGAATGTCAGAAAGGAAAATTCTCAACTCCTCAAAACGAATTTTAAAATTGGTAGATTGCTTCAGATTCGGCAATTTATAAAAGAAAGGTCTTGCACCCCGTCAGCGTTTGTGTAACAGCGTTTTAATCGTTGAAACGGATGGAACACGCATTAGAAAAAAATTAGTTTCCATGCCGGGAGTCGAACCCGGGCCGCCTGGGTGAGAGCCAGAATCCTGACCGCTAGACCACATGGGATACAAGCACACTTTGAGAACATGGGCAAATTTTCATTTCTACACATCATTCTAAATTCGGTAGACAGTTAAGATTCGGCATTTATTAAAAAGAATATCTTGTACACCATCGACGGTATAGACCATAATTAGCGTTGAAACGCTTGTAACAGGTATTCAGAACAGAAACTTAGTACCATGCCAGAGTCGAGACCCGGCCCTCAGTAAAGCCAAGAAGATCCTGAAACTACTAGACCACATGGGATGCCGATCACGATTTGTAACAGGAAAGGAAAATTCTCACATCACAAACTGAATTGTCTGCTTTAGAAATTGTTCTTCTAGAATCGCATTTATTAAAAAAAGTTCTTGTACGCTATGGACGATTTGTTAACAGCGTTTCAGCGTTGAAAACGAAGGTGAACACAGGCAAGAAAAAATTTAGTTCCCACGCTCAGGAGTGTCGACAGACGCCGGGTGCGGTTGAGTCCAGGAACTCGACCTAGACCGTTTGGGATAGCAAACACGCGTTTGAACAGGAGAATCTCAATTCCTCAAAACGTTTTAAAATGGTGAGGCCCCATTCAGATTCATTTATAAAAGAGGTTCCTAGCAGTGACAGGTTTTAGTTAACAGCGTTTTCATCAGTTGAAAGATGCGAGCATGCATCTGAAAAATAGTATTCCATGCTTGCGGAAGATGGGCTGCCTGGGTGAGAGCCAGGACTCCTGACCCCTAGACCACATGGGATGGAAGCACGCTTTGAATAACAAGGAGCAAATTTCTCATTATCTAGAGCAGTTCTAAATTCGGTAGATGTTAGATTCGGAATTTATTAAAAAATGTGTAAATCACGTTCTTATACGTATGACTTTAAAGCGTTAATCAGCGTTGTACAAGCGCATATAGAAAACTTTAGTACCCATGCCAGGGAATCGCGACCATGAGGTGAAACCAGGAATCCTGACGGTCTAGATCCATGGGATACGACACCAGCTTTGTAACAGGAAAGGAAAATTCTCACTCCACAAAACGAGCAATTTTAAAATTGGTAGATTGCTTCAGATCGGCAATTTATATGAAAAAAGTTCTTTTCCGTTATGGATCGTTCGTTTTAACAGCGTTTTCAGCGGACGCAGATGGACACTTATGAAACATTTAGGTTCTCACGTGCAGGAGTCAACCCAGGCCGCCTGGGTGGAACCAGTGTGAACTCCTGACCGCTAGACACATGGGATGAAGCTTTGTAAGCAGGAGAAGGAAAGTCTCCAACTCACAAAACAATTTGCTAAATGGTAGAGTTTAACCAGATTCGGACAATTTATTAAAAAAGTCTTATACTCATGAAACGTGTGTTTAAGCAGCGTTTTCGCAAGTTGAAACGACTTGGACACGACATTAGAAAAATTTACTTCCATGCCGGGAGTCCAGACCCGGGCGACCTGGGTAGCCAGAATCTCAACCATAGACCAACCTATAGGAACAGAACAGCTTTTGTAACGAGGAATGGAAAATTTACTCCACAAACGAATTGTTAATGGTAGATGCTTCGATTCGACAATTTATGAAAAGAAGGTCTTGTACCTCTCGGTTTTTACAGCGTTTGTGGCAACAGTTGATTTAACGCTTGAACGGAACGCATTAGAAAAATATTAGTTCTTCCATGCCGGGGAGTCAGACCGGGCCCGCCTGTGGATGAGCCAGAGATCCTGACCGCTAGTACCACATGGGATGAGCCGAACAGGCTTAAGAGGAAGGAAAATTCTCAACCTCTACTAAAAAATTCTAAGAATTTGTAGATTCTTCAATTCGAGCAATTTATTAAAGAAAGGTCTTGCTACCTATACAAGCTTTGTTTAACAGGTTTTCAAGCGTTAAACGAGGCCGTCATAGAAAAACCTTAGTTCCCGCCACGGACCACGTCAGTGGCAGACGCCTGGAGCTCCGAACCGCTTTACTACACCATCGTCGGATACATACAACCGGTTTAGAACGGAATGGAAATATCTCAACCCTACAAACGAGCGATTTTAAAATCTAGACTGCTTAAGATTTCGGCAATTTATAGTGAAGGTCGTATCAGCTGTTATTGCTTTGGCGTCGTTTCCAGTGTTGAAACGCTGCAACGCATTAGAAAAAAATTTGCCCCACGTCGGGGGTCGAACCGGGCCGCCTGGGTGAGAGCCGGATCCTGACCGCTGGACCCAACATCGGACACAAACCTCGATTTGTAATGGAATGGGAAATTTCTAACACAACACAATGTTAAACAGTAGGACTCTTAAGATTCGGCAATTTATAAAAAAAAGGGTCTTGTACCCTGTCAGGGTTAGTTAGCAGCGATTTCCAATCGTTGAAACCTTGCATACGGTTAGAAAAAATTACTTCCACTGCCAGGAGTGATACCCGGACCCGTGGGTGAGGCCAGAGCATGACCCTGACATTACCACAGTAGCCTGAAACGGTGGTAAAATTCTCCAACACTACAACGGCAATTGTAAATTCAGTAGATGTTGCTTAAGATCTCGGCAATTTATTAAAAAAAAGTTCTTTAGTACTATAGGACGTTGTTTAAACAGTCGTTTTCAGCGTGAATCGAGTGGAATGCACACGGCTATCAGAAAATTAGGCTTCCCGCTTCGGGGTCGAACCAGGCCGCTGGGTGAAGCCAGGAACCCTTGACTCGCTAGACCACATGGGATACAAACACGCGTTGAAGCAGGAAGGGAAAAATTTCATCTCTACAATCGAATCAAAATCGGTAGACTGCAAAGATTCACAATTATTAAAAGAAAGTCTTTACCTCTGCATGGTTGTTTAACATGCTCTGGTCCGTTGAAACGATAACGCATTAAGAAAAATTTACTTCCATGACGAGAGTCACCCAGACCAAGCGTTGAGAGCGGGCGCGAACTGACCCTATAGACCACATGGGAAAGCTAAATCGAGCTTGTTCAGGTATGGAAGAATTCCTAATTCTACAAACAATCCTTCTAAACTCAGTAGACGTGATTAAGATTCGCATCTATTAAAAGTTCTTGTACGGTAAGGACGTTGTTTAACGACGTTTCCATCGATGAAATGTCTTGCAACGACATCAGAGATAAAATTACTTCCCTTTCCCGGGAGTCGATCCCTGGGCCACACGGTGAATGTGAATCCTTGACCGATAGACCACATGTGGGATACAAACACGCGTTGAAACAGGAGAGGAAAAATTACTTACATCGGCCTAAAAATCGGTAGACTAGTTTAAGACGGCAATTTATTAAAAAAAAAAGGTCTTGTACACCAATGACGTTTGTTTGAATATGCTGAAACGAATGGAACACGCATTAAAAAAATTTAGTTCCCACGCTGAGTCGAACCTGGCCGCCTGGGCGAGAGCCAGAAATCCTTAATTGAATTAGACTATTATGGGATACAAAATTATCGCTTTCTTGAAACAGAAAAGGAAAATTTCATTCCTACACATCGTATTCTAAAATCGGTAATTGATTAAGATTCAGCAATTTATTAAAAAAAAGTTCTTGTAATGGTAAGACGTTTGTTTAATGAAGCGTTTCCATCGATGAAATGCCGTAACGTGCATCAGAAAAAATATACTTCCCATGCTGGAGTGGAACCCGTCGCCTCAAGAGAGCCAGAACTTGAACGCTAGACCATTACGGGATACGAACACGCTTTTGTAATAGAAAGAATTTCTACCCACAAACGAATTTTAAAGTTGTGATTTGTTTGATTCGGTAATTTATT